ATGTTCTCTGGTTTATCCTCTTCAGCCCTTTGTGCTCAGTAGCTGCTTGAAGGAAATGGCATCAGAACAGATGATGAAGGCAGTCAAAGGCCAAGAAATGGTAAGCATGTGTGTATTTGCTATAGGAATTTGTATTTAAAAAGAAATAAACCTGCTGCTCTATCAGTCTTACCACTGTGATAGAGAAGTACCATTGAGGAAAAGCATCTTGCATGTTCCAATATTTCAGTATAGAATTAATTGACTAAAAAGCAGATCTTTTCTCAGTTTCACTGAAATAATGTTCTAAATGTTAAAGATGGTTTCTCATCACAGTTTTAAGAATAAGTTTTACATTCTCTCTCCTTGACTTCAATTTTTTCAGAAGATGATGAAGGATATTGATGGCATAGTTTTTCGTGTGTTCTGCACTACCCTGTTGTATCCATTTCTGGCTTTCACTTTTCCCCCACTTCACTTGATTGCTCCATCTGTTGCAATGTTAGACCAAACTGAAATCCGTGACATTCACACGGGGAAACTGTTTTAAATAGAAGTGTTAATAAAGTAAAAATCTGATTTGTAGCTAAAATACTTCTGCCTTTTGTGTGGGCCTTTCAGGATGGAAATATACGTTTAGATACTTGTTATTTTTAAAAATAATTTCCAGCATTAGTAATGTCTTTGTTTAATCTTGTGATATCTAAGGATTTTGTCTGCTAACTGAAAACTTCTGAAGAGAAAAAAGGAAACGAAAATGTGTGATCTTCTAGGCCCAGTTAATTTCCTGCACTGTTGTTTCTGGGTGTGACTGAATGCTGATTTGCTCAGCATATTTTGTGACAGTACTTGGGGTAGCATTTCAGCTTATTCTAAGTTTACATTTGTCAATCTGTTCAGAAGATCAAGATTCCTGAATCAATGATACATAGAAATAAGAAATCCAGCATCCAACAAAAGCAGGTTAGTGAGTGAGAAATTGTCTCCAAAATGTAAATACAGTGTGTTCTTGCTTGCTACTGTTGTTTAGCCCAACATCTGTTTTCCTGGTTAGGGAACTTAATGAGAACTTCCTTAGGTGGAAAAAGTAGCTAAATTTGAATTTGAGGAGGAAAAAGAGGGCAAGAAACAGGTCTAAAGAAAGCTTTTATTTTAGCTTGATGGGTTTAACAACAACTCGTTTGATTTTATTTCTTATTCCAAGTGTTTCTGAATGACATATTTAAAATTTGCAGGAAGATAGAATATATACAGAGATCAGGTGTGTATATCCACATGCAATTGCTGGTGTGTTTTACAGACTTGTACTTATATTCCACACTAGAATTTTTATATGTTTATTTTCCGCTCTATTTGGGAATTGTAGTCATTTGGAAAATTTAACATGTTACATATCCATACACAGACATTCCCATCACATAAAAGATGCAATTCCAAGTTCATTTGCTGGAATCAGTATTCATTGTTAATAGTTCTTGAATAGCTAAATGACTAGAAGATGTTGCTTTTTCAAGTCATTTGCTGAATGAAAGACAATAAAGTGAATTAAAATAAATACTCCTATTATAGTGTGTGATTGGCCAAAGGAGAAATATTTCTAAAAGAGAAACCCCAAACTTAATCTGAATTCAGAAAAAAAAGTGATGTTGCTGTACCCTCAGAAACCATAAAACCAGTCACTAACTGCTCCTCAATAAGCCAGTGGATTAACATTTGGGCTGGGTTCTGCTGCCCCTTTCTTTGAAGTGCTCTGCACTTGTCACTGCTGCAGATTCTAGGTTAGGTGTGGCCTTCAGCAGCCACAAGTAACTTGCAAATGATATCAAGGGAGACAACATATTCTGGCTAGACTGGCATCTGGGATGGAGACTGAAGGATGCAGTTCAGGGTCTCCACTAAGGCGAAGGTTTAGCAAGGACTAAGTTGCACAGTACCCTGGCCTTGAGGCAATTGCTCTGACCTCAACATACTTAAAATATTTATTTTTGTGAGAAAAGCAGCCTTGGCAGGGTAACATAAAGCCACTGATATTATCAGCCATGTCTGGCTGCTGATACAAAACGCAGTGAACTAAGAAAACTACAGTTGATAATTAGAACAGAGATGTTAAAGTAAGTCCAGGTGTGCTGTTGTGCTAAGGAGTGACAGTATGGAATGCTATACCTCCTTTTATACAGCAAATTTGAAGTTCTTTAGGTCTTTGTGCACCACGCTCTGTTATCATAGAATTAATATAAAATCTTAAACCAGGCTTAGCTAAATTCTAAACGCTGTGATTGCAGTATTAGGGTTCTTAAGGTTTTGCTTTGCTATTCCTCTATTTTTCTTTGCAAGATGCTTGAAAAATGTTTGAAGTTTCTTTTGTACATTTTCATTTGAAAAAGTAGTTTTGAGTTGAGTTATAATTTTGCTATTAGCATCTCCAAGAGTCTTACAAGCCTTTGCTCTGAGTTGGCAGAAAGTTTAACTGATGCTGTCCAAAGACTCTGAAAACTTACACCAAATATTTTCTGCTGACTCATGAGAAGAAAAGCTTAACTTTTATTTTCTTTGTGATCCTTTAGGAGTACACTGGTACTACTCGATCAGCATAACAGCCTGAAAATTCTTGTCTGGATAGACAATCTAGTGCAGCAGTAAGATTTAGTAGGAAAATGAGGAAGCAGAAGGTGGAGTTCACAGATAGTGAGACTGTGACGTAGAACGTGCCTGCATCTAGGCAATTCTGCTGTTGTGTCTTTTGGAAACCTTGAAAAAGGCATGAAATAACTTATACAGAGAAAACACATGCAAAACTTGGTTTCAGCTTCCTTGATGTTAGTTACTGCAGCATGGTTGCCCTAGTTTCATGATAGACACTTTCAGTAGGGTTTTTCAGGACATTTACTTTGCAAACATGTACCAAGAAGAAAACTCTGTGCTACAAATTTTCCTTATAAAACAGAAACCTGCAGATACGTGCAATGGAACTGGGTAGTTTGCCTGCTTATACCTGCTGGGTAATATGGTATTAGGAAGCTTCAGACAGCGCATGGTAACTTTTAGGAAAAGTAAAATTGAAAGGAAACTTTGATGCAGTTGTTACACTTAATAAGAATGTGTTATTAACAGTACCCAATCTAATTCAGAAGGCCTAATAGGCAACTAAAGTTCCTATACATATGTCCTTGTGACCACCATAATGCCAAATAACTTGGATGTTGGCACACCTGGAACTGCTGTTCAATTCACACCCTATCTAGTACATTGTAATAAGCCCTAGAGTAACAACAACTGCTCTTGTCCCCCATCCCAGCAGGGAAAAAAAAAAATTGTTCTCTCTGAAATATCTCAAAGAGATCAACCTCAAATATCTCAAAGAGATCACCTGAACAGTGAGATTTTCTAGCTTATATTTGTATCTACCCACAATTATTGACATGCATATGCTCTTCTTTACTTGTTTCACTGCAGGTAGTTCAGTCAGGTTTTATATCAAGGAAAAGATTTTTAGTTAGGCCAAATAAAGGAGACTGTGTGTGGAAATAATAAACCCATTGCTGAAATATTGAATTAAAAGGCAAAAACTCCCTAAAAACCTCCAGCGTTATTCCTCGCCCGTGCACTGTTCTTTAGAGTATTTACAACTCTAGTGAGCCAGTGTGAATGGGTGCTGAGAATCTGGAGATGTCTTGCATACATGCTTTTTTTTTTTTTGATATTTTTTCCCCCAGACATTGTTGGGGCAGAAAGGGGAGGGTTGTCTAGAAAAGGTGCTATGGTTTTAGCAGGGGGAAAGGTTATAATACGTAAGATATATGTAACATATCAGTTTATGATGTTTCTGTAACTGTGTAATTAGCATGGTGACTGAGCAGGCTGTTTCCACCTAGGCATTATCTGGGAAAGGCATACATTTCCTCTGATCCTTCCAGGGCATGTAAGTAACCACAACAGAAATTGAGCTGGTTCACACTGATGGCCCTGGGCAAGCAAATACCCTCTGTGGTGGCTAAAGGCAGGCACACCATTAACCACAGCAGCAACTTGCTTGCTAGTGCAAGAAGACTAAAGTGCCTAAACCACGACACTTCAGACCAGGCTTTAAGGATCTTTGATTCTTCTTACTGTCCTCATTTTGAACGGCGGGATGATGTGTGAGAACAGGGAAAGGAAGTAGAAATAAAATAAAAGCTACAATAATATTTTGGGGGAAGTCAAATAACTTCAGCCCTCACCCTTCTCCACTCTCCCTCCCCCATTTACTTATACTCACAGACCCTTGATGCTGAAATGATTTGGAGGCAGAGGAACTGTACTTTTACCTGAATATTTATCTTGCTGATATTTGTGGTGTTATGGGGATAGCACACACAGAAGCATCAAAATTACAGAATTAATTAGGGTGGAAAAGACCTCTGAAATCGAACACCATGTCAAACAAACTATAGCACAAGGTGCCACATCCAATCTTTCCTTAAACACCTTCAGGGACAGTGACTCCGTCACCTCCCTGGGCAGCCCATTCCAAAGTATAATCACCTGTTCTGTGAAGAAATTCCACCAAATGTCCAACCTAAACCTCCCCTAGCACAGCGTGAGGTCGTGTCCTCCGATCCTGTTGCTTGCTACCTGAGAGAAGAGGCCGATGCTCACACACGACCTCCATTCAGGGAGTTGTAGAGAGAGCCTCCTCTCCAGCTCCCTCAGCCGCTCCCCATAACACTGGTGCTCCAGACCCGTCACCACCATCCTTGCACTTCTCCGGGTCCTCTCCGGCACCTCAGTGTCCTTCCTGTAGTGAGGGGCCCAGCACTGGACACGGGACTCGAGGTGCGGCCTCGCCGGGGTCGAGTACATGAGGACGGTCCCTGTGCCGGTCCCGCTGGCCGCACTGTGTGTGATTCCCCCGCTCCCAGCGGGCCGGCACCGCTCCCGCGGCTCGGCCGGGCTGTGCCGTGCGGGACGGACGATGCGGGGCCCGGCCGCGGCCTCCGCCCAGCAGGGGGCGCCCGTTCCCCCCGCCGCGGCCCCGCGCCCGCCCGCCCGTTCCGGCCCCTCCGCCCAGAGAGCCGGGCAGGTACGGCGGGAGCGGGGCCGGGCAGGGCAGGGCGTGGTGCTTTCGCCCACCCCAGGGGTGTGCCAGGCCCAGGTAGGGACCCACGGACGGGCCGTGGGCAGTGCCCCGCCCGGGAGCCGTGGAGGTGGGGCGCGGTGATGCGGTTTGGGGGGAAGGGGTTTGGTGGGAGAACAGCGGGAGCAGTGCCAACCTTCGGAGCGGGGAGGGAGGGGAAGGGACACGGGAACGCGTCCTCCTTCCTGACAGGACGTGGGTAAGTGTGCGGCTTTGGAACGCGCTTTTTTGGGGAGAAAACAACGAAGGTAAGTGAAGCTAAAATACGTATTTCAGCCTGCCCTCAAAACTGTCTTTGAAAAAGCAATTATTGCTTTTAAGGCAAGTGGAGTAGTTCCCGGTTTTTTCCAGACGACAGTAAGGCCGCTGCACATTGTTACTGTGCTGAAAAGGTTGGGATAACACCCGAATTGTAAAGAGGATGGGGAAGTAACTAGAGACAAACTACTGTAAGTAATGTTGAATGAAAAATCTATCAAATCTGAGTATGAAAGAATATAAAATTAGTTCTTTGAAGATCTGTTTTGAGACCAATCTTGTTAAATATTTTATAGAGGTCTTGAGGTAGCAATTAAAACTTGACTGTCTTCATTTGGCAGAGATGAAGAATTGGGAAGCACCGGCAATATAGAAGAGTGTTACGGGACTACACAGAAAGAATTGGGTGATCCTGACAATAGGATATGAAATAAGTGCTACAACAATTTAAAGAATGAGGTTTTACAGTTGTAGCCTAGTAAGGAAACAATATACAGAAGAAATTCTTACTGGTTGAAAGTAACACAAAACCAAAGTATGTGGTAGGTAGTTACAAGATATGCAGTGTGGAAAAAGTAAATGCTGATTACAGTGATCTAGTAAAAGAAGTTATTATTATCCATGAACAGAACTCTAGAATACTTTTTATAATGGTAATCATTCTCAGCTAAAAAAGTAAGGTGGAACAGGTGCAGGAAGATGTGCCTAGGACAGGTAGGGAAAGGAAGAGTCTATTGGAAGAAGCATTTGGCTTTTTTAATTTTGTCAAATAAAGGCCTTTTTTTGCTTTCTATCAAACTCATCAAGGTAAACACTGAGAAGGGAACAAATTGAGTTTAAGAATTATGTTGATACATGAATATTTTAACACAGATTTTAAGATTAATAATATATGAAAATTTCTAACCATCAGAGAGCACTGATGTTCAAGATCAGCCGTCCAAAAGATCAAGGAAGAGCAAAAGCCCAACACTTTTTAGATAGACTGTGACTGGTGTATTAAAGTAATGATTTTGTTTGCTGCAGCGGAGTTCTAAGCTTAATGTTGCCTGTAGACTATAGGTTAGTTTTCCTTTATTGTTCATTTGCGAAACAGATTATTAGCAAGAACTTGTTAAATATGTTTTTTAGAAGAAAAATATTTTTAGTAGTTTTTGCAGTCTGAATAGCAGGGTTGGCGACAGTCAGAAAATTATGCTGCGTAATTGCTCTCTTTTTGAGTTGAAGAGAAGATATGAAGAGTAAGCTGAGATGAGTTGAGGGCTGAAGTGTGGTATGTGCATCTGTCTTCTTACCAGAGCAATGTGAGTTTGCCTCTGCAAGAGGGGACTATAAAAATCTGTTCTGATCTGTAATCAGTGACAGGTTTCCTCTCAGCAGATTTGTCTCATCAGCAAGAGTGAGGGATTTGAAGCAGTGCTTTAGGTTGACTGTATTATCCCACCTCATATTCTTGTGCACTTAATATCAGAACACGTGTGGCCTTGGAAGTCCTCATCTGCAGCTCAGGACCTGAGATACCTGCTCATCCGAGGCATGAACTACTAGTGACTTTTCTAGGGAATTGGGTATGCTGGATATGGGTATTTTAGGGCTGCTGCTTGTCTTTTGATCAGTCTGTCAGCTGCTTGGCTCCCATGTGATCTCAGCTGTGGATGTTCTGCTTCCAGGTAGGTCATTTAATAAGCAGATAAAGTATTTTAGAAGGCATTGGTTTATACACGTTATGTGAAATACATGATTCCTAATGCTTTCAGCTTTCTGCAGAGACCATCCACAGAATGCTGCTGGAGTAGATGACAGGCATGTCTTAGTGCGTGGGCTTGTTCCACTAAAGTTAAATTATTAGTGTGTACTGTGATTCTGTCTTCATCCAAGTCAGAGCACAAATACTGAAATGGTCAGTTTTGTTGTCGTTTGCTTTACTATTTAAAGATACTTAATAAATATGTGGAAAGAAGTTTTACCTTGCTCAGCACCTCACTGAAGCCATATCTGTCACAGAACTTAGCTTCTGGCTTTGATTCATGTGTCAACACTACTTTTCCCAGTGGCATGACTTTCTTTTACTCCTCAGTAGAATTTCAATTGGCTGAGTGGAACAGAGCTGCTTAGACACCAGTTTTGTCGCCCAGCAGATTTCTCACATCCAAGTAGTGCAGCTACATCAGCTGAATTTTATGGCATAAATTCAGAGATATAAATCCTGCAGTGTTTGTTGATGGGGTTATATTCTTCATAGTGCTCAAGACCTCTTATTAGTGTCCAACCAGCAATAATGGATGGTGACAGAAACAGGGCAGCAGCACATTTCAGGAAAGGTTTCTGGTGTATGGGTTTTCCATGGATTGTGTAGAATGCTTGTCTGTCTTCTTCACCTCAACTTTTTTTGTTCAGAGAAGTGTTTGCCTGTCTGTACTGTGTGTTACTATGTTAGGGACTGGTTCTACCTGAGTTTGAGTATATCTTCAGAGGATGATGAATCCTTTCTACACAGGATTGTAGGTACAGCTGATGTGGATTTTCAGGAAGCATCAGGAAAAAGTACCCTACCAAAGGCTTTTGAGGAGACTTGATGCTTATAGCACCTAGGAGATTTCTTACTTGCAGAAATTGGTTGAAAAATTAAAAAGGAGGCAAAAAGAAATTTCAAAAAAAGGGAAGGGGGCAGAAAGGTGGCACAATGAGCTTCAGTGTGCATGAAGTAGGATGATGTCTTGGGTAAATTAATCTAAACTGTGCTCACATGGTGCTGAACTCAGAACTGTCAGCCACCACTCAAGAGAAAGTACTTGGAGTCACGACTGAGTGTTCCTTGGTAAGCTAAGCTCAGTGTGCCCTTGCAGCCAAAGAACCAGGAAAATGGTGGCTGTCCTCAGAGAGGTAGTGAGAAGAAGACAGATCACCCCATTTTGCTGTCATCTGGCACTGTTCTGCTGCTCCATCTTGGGGCACCCAGGTCTGGGATAGTGTGTGTAGTTCTGGTCTCTGCATCGGAAGAAGGATACAGTGAGTTAGAGAGAGGCAACTGAAAGGGACAAGGGAACCACCTTGCTTAAGAGGAGAGACTGTAAAGTCAATATTATTCACAGAGGAGATGTCTGGGATATGGCCAAGACTTGCAAAATGAAGGCAGTGGATAAAGTGAGAGTTATTCATCCAGTCTTGCAGCACTGGAATGGGAGAGTTACTTGCTGGGGCAGATGGGAGGGTGGTTTCAGATGGATGTAGGGAAGGATGACATGGGTAGCTGTGGAGGTAGAATGTGAGCAGGCTCAGGATGGGATTAGAAAGTGGACAATAAGACTGTTGAGGGGCTGTGGTGGTTGCTGAGGTGTGTTTGGGGAACAGACTGCAGGAAGCAGACAGGCTCATGTGCCCTCTCCGAGAAGGATCTCTGATGGCCACTGTGGAAGCAGAGTGCTGGGCGAGAAGGATGGATCTGATCCAGGACAGCAGTTTTAGTGAACTTACAATCAATCTTTAAGTGGAATAATTTTAGTTCCGCAGAGTTCGGTTCTGGATTCTGAACTGTTTGTCAATGACATAGGTCAGCTATGAAAAGCTCCAGAAGGACCCTGTAAGACTGAGTAGCTGGGTAACATAATATAATGACACATGAATTCAGTGTAGGTAGATGATTCAGATAGCGTCAAAAGAATTCTATCTTCCTTCATCCTTTCTCAAACGAAACTTGTAAAACCTTTTAAAAAAACATGGATATTGCTGTTTATTGATTAGACATTGTGTTTCACGTTGAATATTGAGTCTTTTGTAGATAAGTTACTGGTACTTGCTGAGTTACCTGAAGGTGGAAGTTTTCCCTGTACAAGTGATGTCTTTTGTTTCCAGGCTCAGAGGGATCCATTGATGAAATTGGGAAACATCAGTTGAGCTACTTTGCTCTCAAGTTCTTTTCAATCATCTTCCATTATATTTTTGGTCAATTCCAACCTCTCTGCAGATCAGGAGCTTGAGGGTGGCCTCCCAGATTCTCCTCAGACTTGCCTGTTGTCCTGGGAACCCATAGGCTGCTGGTCCCTTTGGTCCCTTAAGATACAGTGTTGGGCAGACACTATTACTACAGGTTTGCCTACATGGACAAATTTTTGAGCCTAAGCATGGTGAAATAACTATTTGTGCAAAAATAGCATCAGTAGGTGTATATTAATTAGAAATACAACCTTAAGAATGCCACCATTTCATCTTGCTACGTCATGTAATGTGATCCAGTATGATACAATTAAGTTTTTTAAGTCATACTATGTTGATAAAGATTTAGAAAGATTTCTTGAAACAGCAAATATATCAGTTAACTATTTGACTCTGACTAACTGGTTTAATGATTTACTGTGTGAACATGAAAATTCTGAGCAGAAATATCTGTAGCAGCAGTCATAGTAAGAGTTTCATATCTGACAGCATTAGTTGTTGTTGGTATTATTTGGTGATATAAAATAAAGAATTTTAATAAACAAGCCGAACAATGTATTATTTTAATGGTAAAGTCAAAATACAGATATCTGTAAATTTAGGAGGCATCTGCTTTTTAAAGTGACCTGCTTTCATTGACTAGCCACTAAGCTGAATTTGATGTTGCACACCAAGGTTGTGTCATCAAGGTTATGTATGACTAAGAGCTTATAAGCAATTATACACATTATGAGACAAAAATTAAGACAATACCAACTGTATAGTAATAAGTAATTTGATGACAGGTTCTTAATTTGCTTTATTGCTCTTGTTAAGCTCTGACTTCTGATGATTCCAGCTGGACACAGAAAGTTTTTCCCATTTTAGTAAACTTGTCATCTCAGACTTACTGTTTCCCTAGGTAAGGACTGGGCCTTTTGTGTGTGGGTAGGGGGGGAGGTGTTTTGGACTTAGTTTTGGGTGTTTTTTAAGAACAGACATAAATGCATACCTTTTAAAATTCAGTACCTTTGTCTTCAGAACTCCCATACCAAAGTCCTCGTTTCACTAATACAGAATTGGACTGTGAATGAGATTGCTGTTTATATTGCAAGGGAATAGCACTTTGGATTTCAGAATGCTTTTTAGTAAAGTTTTATAAAATCTTATCTTCATGCTTTTCATCGTTTCCTTCTCAGGAAGATAGAAAACACCACAAATGTATTAAAGGTGCTCTGTGTGCCTCCCGGCTTATGCACCACGCCAGTACCTAAAGGGAGCCTGAGAGAAGGCTGGAGAGGGGCTTTTTACAAGGGCGTGAAGTGATAGGACAAGGGGCAACGGCTTTAAACTGAAAGAGAGCGTGTTTAGATGAACATAAGGATTAAATTCTTGCCTGTGAGGATGGTGAAAAACTGGAACAAGTAGCCCAGAGAATCCATGGATGCCCCATCCCTGGCAGTGTTCAAGGCAAGGCCAGGTTGGGTGGGGCTTTGAGCAACCTGATCCGGTGGAAGGTGTCCCTGCCCGTGGCAGGGGTGTTAGACTAGATGACCTTTAAGGTCCCTTGCAACTCAAACCATTCTGTGACTCAGTGATTCACTCCAGTGGGACGGGAACGTGTCAGTCCACGTGGTGGCAGTGTCCATCCAGACAGGAGCGCTGCACCTCCCTCGGCAGTCTGTGAGCACCGCCGGGAGCAATCCCTTGTTGCTCAGTTACTGTCGTCTTCTTTTCCAGAGGACTGCTTTGACTCTGCAGCAAATTTAAACACAAACACTTAATTAGGAGTGGAACGAATTCACTCTAGTCGGTTTACACCCAAACAACTAAACCAACAACAAAATAATATGCAAAGACCTTTAATATTTTTTTGATCAAATATACCCTACATGTTCCCAGCAGACACAGAGAAGGAATTTGAATGAAAGTTTGTGAAAAGGTTGATAATTATGCCCAATATGATTCAATGACTTTCTATAAAAACAGATGTATTCAATCTGGGCACAATGATCAGAGAAGTACTGCAGTTATGTACTGATTTACCTGAGCCAGTTGTGGGAAATTTAAGTTACAGATGATTTGAAGAAATCTGTAAATTGCCTTTCTTCCTAAATAGTTCTGTGCAGAAGATGAAAAATGAGGAATGTTCAAAAATACTGAGCTATATATTTTATAGAAGCTAAGTACACTGGAAGATGTAATGCAGCTGAATTACCAGCTGAGTATAGGATAAACAAGGATAAAATATTTGTGAATCTTCTTGTTGATAAAAGTGTTTTAAGAGATCGTTTGTTTTTTATTGTTCCTGTATTTTGTGTTCATAAATACACAAAGCTTGTACTGTTTTATCTGGGAAAGCATTCTGCAACCCTGGATTGGCATTTGAAATCTTGTATATTTTTTATCTTGTACTGTTGAAATACTGTACAATGATGAGCAAAGGTCTCTATTTCCCAATGCTATCATCTGCTGGTCCATAAAAGAACAGCAATAGTTGTTGAAACCTTTTCATAAAGCACTTTGTAGACCGTATATGTAAAGCCCTTTGTATATTCAGTGCACCAAAGTTTCTACTTACAGGATGGTCCTGACAATCAAGAGAATATACCTGTATGTCTCATGTCTGTATAAGGGAATGGGAATGATTCAAAAGACAAATGACATAAAAAATGTTCTTCTATTACCACATACCCATGTGTCTGACTAGAGTCATGAGAGGGGATGTGGGTGTTATGAGCCTGCTGTGATTCTTAAATCCAGGAACTGTTGGAAAAAAATTCTAAAGTTAGAAAGTGAAAATGCTGAAAAATATAAATGTGTATAAAGCAGACATCATGCTGTATTGAGTCTGAGCTGCTGCTTTTAGCAGCAGATCCATATTAGTGGAGTCATAAAACTTTGTTCCAATTGGACTGAATAGGTAAAGGTTTCTAATAGAAGATACAGAAATCCCAGTGGAACTTGAGGTAGGTAATGGGGTTCTTTCTTAAACCAGTGAGCTGATCACTTAATTTTTTACTAAACATAATATTTATTCAGTTAAATGAGTTCTCAGTGACTTACACGTAAATACATGTGTGTGTGAAAACAGCAGTTTGAGGAAAGTATTGGAATGTTTTTCATTCATTTAAATACTGAAGGGGAAGAGCTCTGCAAGCCACTGAAGTGCTCTCAAAGTTCATTACAGAAAGAGGAAGCTGTTTGCCACCAGGGAGTTGACAAATGCAAATTTTTCAAGTAACATATACTGTGTTTTTTGGTGGCATGGGGTGGAGATGGTACTTTGTACTGGTTTTGGTTTAGTTTCCATTTCTTAGTGGTGGCAGTTTTTCTAGTGGTAGATGCTTAGGTTCTACATGTTAAAGTGTGTATTAATATTGAGAAGTCTCAAGGATTGAGCAATCTGGTATTGTCCTGTTGTCCTGACTTGTTGTTTTGAAATAGGGACGGTTACTTCAGTTTCTCTGAATGTTCTGGGAAATACTGTAGTTTTGCAGAACTGGTATATGCTATGCAGCAGTGACGGGGTGATTAATCACAACTTGGCAGGTTTATTAATATTTTTGTAGTGGAGGGATGGGTCCCATTAGTGATTCTGTCTCACAGTCAAGCTGTTCTCTCCTGGTTCTGGAGCTGTTTGGTAGCTGTTGAACTTAATGAGAAGGCAGTGACAGCAGCATGTATTTACTGTAAAATAAAACTGTCCCTGGTTAGTACAAATTTCAGCCTAGTTTAAGAAGTGACAGAATTTGCATTTAGCAGGCGTGAACATGTCCTACAACAGATAACTGTGTGACAATGAATTACCATTGTACACAGTGGAGTGAGAGACAATTGACTGCAAGTAAATAAAAGTAAATTATTCTTACAGAATCACTTAATATAAGCATTCCTTTTGAAAACAAAACAGTTTGGTTAAGTTTTCTTATCCTGTTCTAGCCCACATGTGTCATTGCAGAAGTGGCTTACAGCATAATTTCTAAAATCATTACTTAAAAATACACTGTGTTGAGGCCATATAAATGTATAAATCTAGGGAAAATGTATTCTTATAGTATGCCTTTCTGATGGGAATCCTTCTAGCTTGGGAGAACATCTTTGAATTTACTTTTTTTTCACAAATTTGATTTTCTATCAAAGCACCTAGTTATTCACAACAGAACGGATTTTTTAAAAATATTATTATTTAAAAGATACATTTTCAGTAGATAGTGGTGCATTTTTAGAAGCAGTAATTTATTTCAGTCTTTAGAAACTAGATTTATTTAACTCTTAGTTGTAGTAATTTTTAGAGATGTTCAGAATGCTTGTTTTGCAATATTTTGTGTCTTGTTACTAATACAAGTCCATTTATCCTAATTTGTGGCTGTAAAATCAGTGCTTAATGGTAGGTGTACCAGCTGTGAGACAGTTGTTAACTGATTCGCCTTTCAGACTTAAAGAGAATGGCTGATGCCACCGTGTTTCTAAATTTTGTTTCTTAATCTGCAACATTAGATACTTATTAAAGCAGAAAGCTTTTTGATACATAATGTGGTCAGAAATGTAACCACCTTTTGTTTATTCAAAAATACCTAATGAAGTTGACTATCAAAATTTTTTTAAGAGTTTTATTAGACAGGAAATTTTACTAAGTTGGGTTAAATTTGAAGCAAGAACATGCTATTTGAGGGCTGACATTTTGAAGGTGCTGCATAGTTCCGCTTTGTATGTGGCTTATATCTGGCGTGGGTTAAGTAGCCATATGTGAAATAGAATTGTGTTTGTAGAAAAAATCCTTTTAATCACAAAGATAAATCAAACCAGATGGTCCAGATTGTCTTTTTCTTTTTTTTTTTTTTTTTTCCTGGGGATTTTTGTCTTTCTTACTGTGAAATACTAAGGTTTTACTTTAGTCTTCTACACATCAGTGATCGATTCTAGAAGATTCTAGTGATAATAAATTCTGATTCAGAATTACTTCCAGTTACATGTTCTGTTAATTGCTAATCTTTGGGCTTCCTTTTCTGAGAAGATGAGGAGGTGACTTTTTTTCCCTGGTATTATTAGCTAATGTTTTGTCACAGCTGGGGAATTCTGTAAGGCTTTACCGGACATACACGTCTGGTATGAAAATATAAACATTAGCTTACATTTAACAGAGCATACCATGCCATTTCTCAAATAGCCTAAGTCTCTTCCAGTATAATATTCTCATGTTGATTTATGTTTTATTAAACAGGTTTAAAGACTCAAGTATTGTTTTACAAGCGAATCATGATCTTTTTGTCAGGTACAAGTAGGGTTTTGTCCTGTTGATATGCTGTTACTATGGCTGATAATTGGAGGTTTTAAAATGATTTATGATCTTACTTTAGGGAAGGTTTAGTGTAGAGGTCACAATCACATCTTACAGAAAGTGGTCCCACTATTTTTCTCAGCAAAGATTGGAGTAGCAGAGTGGAAGAAGGATTCTCATATTTATGATTTGGGTGGGAAATGGACAAGGAAATTGAAATTGCTGTCAGCTGGGAATCCTCGCTTTGCAGCATCCAGGAGGATGTAACATGCTCCTTGAAATGCAAGTAATTGCAGCGTCCTTTCTTCTTGTATCCAGTCATAAGGACGCTGTTAGTGCCCTAATTGACACCAGTCTTTTTTTTTAATGTGTATCAGTGAACTGGCCTTTTGCTATTGGAGATGGTTATGGAAAAGGGTTCTTGAGCCAGTGATTTACCATCATTTCTTAAAAACATACTTGCAGCCTAGGGGAATGTACTCTGGTTAAAATCATTCCTTATACAGATACCAGGACGTAGAATTTATTCCTATCTCTTCAGCGTCCAAGAAAGAAAAAAAAAAAAGTTGTGCATTCCTGCACTGGGAAACAGTGTTGATACATGCAGCAGAATTTGTCCAGATGGGAGATACAGCCTAGTGAAGTTTAGATATGATTTATTAACCTCAACAGCCCCAAGTGCTGCAGCTCTTAATCAGACCAGTGCATAAACATTATGAAATTACGTATGTAGGTACTTTGATCTTGAATTTGATCTAAAACATGGGGGAAGAGCTATAAAATATAGACATTATAAACTCTCAAAAAAGGAGACGTTTTAAATTGAGTTCTTTGGCTACTGGCCATGTTTCCATTCTCCTGGCTGAATGGATGCACCGGTGTGGAAGGATACCTTATATAGATGAGAAAATTTAAATCTGGCTATAGCAGTTTTAATAAGAGATTTAAATAGTTAATTAGAACTCTGTTGCACCCTGAGTCCAAAATAGAAACCCTGGGCAAGTGAAAAATACTGTTTCAAGTGAGGTTTTGGTTTACTTTATGTTCAAAGCTTATCTAGTAAAATAATTTTTCTCTCACTTGAATTGTGTCATGTCTGTGTTGAGATTTCTCATAAGGATTTGTAGCAGTTTATATTTTTTTTCTTTTCTACCTCTTCTCAGAGGCAAAGAGAGGGCTGTTGTCTAGTCTCCTAGGTGTTATCATTGCTTCTTACCATTGCCTCATACACATTTTACCATTCTCTTGCTCAGTCATTCACTTTTTTCCTTACTGTTTTCAAGTGATCTTTTCTGTGTCTGATAAGCACACAGTGTCATCATACCCTCATTAGTTGGCTCATCCATAAAAATTCTTCTGCAAAACTTAAATCATAGTTCATGAAGTATTCTATATCAAGTAATCTGTGGTGAAACATTTGTTTTCCTCTTTTAGTCCTGACACAGTAAAGGACTTAATCCTTTGTTTAATACTAAGCCAGAGAAACCACATTTGTGCTTCTCTGTATTGAGGTTCTAGTCAAACCCACAGCAGCTCTGTTCTTAATTTTACCATTGTTTTCTTTGTACCCACTTCCAGTTTTTACTTTCACGTGGGCAATTTCACCTAATGCGTTCAGTTTTCTGTGGTCTGTATTGCTATTCTTGTTTGTTTTGTAGTTTGTGTGTCTCTGGCACTGTAAAAATAATGTTCTGCAAAGAGTAGGAAAAATGTATTTCTTGCAGAACGAAGGCATTAGTGTTTATATTAATCTAGCCTTTTTAGGAACTGGCTGTACTTTGTGCATTGAAGTTCAAATTCAGACGGTAAAAATCCCACTGGAGTTGTTTTGGGTTATAAACTGGTAAAAAATGCAGTTAGCATCACTGTACATGTGAACTGAATTGTTTATAACTTCCCCATTTGTGACAGTTCCTTCCTTTCTGTCCTGATCTGCAGTGTTTTGCCCTTAAATATCAATTCCACTACATGTGATTCCATAGTAGGTGAAAGCTAATCACCTGTCTCTCATTTGTGACGGTGATCTTACCAGTTTTCTGTAATTACAACTTTGCTGCTGTTTCCAAAAGTGTGAGTAAGACTACATGGGGCTTTTTCTGTATTACTAGAAGGGAATGCAGCATGCAAAGTTAGTGTGTATGACAGGAAGATTTCAGAGTTGGCTTATAAGCTAGTTTGCATTCCTGTTTTGGAACGTGAGTGTATCTGCATTGTGTTTATTGGCCTGGTTTCACCATCGTTTCTTCCCACTTAAACTTTCAGGTTGGTCACCTCCTCTGGAGAGATTCAGAGCAATGTCCTACGTTTTTGTAAATGACTCCTCCCAGACAAACGTGCCACTGCTGCAGGCTTGTATTGATGGAGATTTTAACTATTCCAAACGACTGCTAGAGAGCGGTTTCGACCCAAATATTCGCGACAGCCGAGGCCGAACTGGCCTTCACCTCGCTGCAGCCAGAGGAAATGTAGACATCTGTCAGCTCTTGCACAAATTTGGTGCTGACCTACTAGCCACTGACTATCAAGGTAACACAGCTCTTCACCTGTGTGGGCATGTCGATACCATCCAGTTCCTAGTTTCTAATGGACTTAAAATTGATATTTGGTAAGTCATTTTTTACAGCATGTATTCTTATAATATATTAGTCTTCTGTCACCACAGGCTTGCATATAAATCTGCTGTTGCTGAAATGCTGTTTTTGGTGCAGTTTCACTTTTTAAAGATACCACTTAATAAAAGCACAAACTAAGAAGACAGGAGAACAGTGAGGGCACTTTTGCTAGTCTGTGCAACAAGCAAAGCAAATAAAAATAGCAGCTACTCGTGTAGGCTGCTGTATCTCATCCTGCCTCATTGATGCATTGCTGCCTTAGTTTGGCCAGACAACCAGGTGTGGGTGGTTGGCACCAAAGGAAAAAATCACATTGACTACTCCAAAAGAATTTTCTCCACTACAGTTCTATTGTTGTACTGGATAAGACAAAGAAAATACAGTATATGTGTGTGTCAGTTCATTCCCATACTCCTCTGGTAACAATGCTTCCTTTCAGTGTTTTCACCCTCCCTCAAAGTCTATGACTCAGTTCTTCTTTCAAATATTGTATATTCTTTCCTTCTGGCTCCCAGCAGCTGTCAGATGCCAGTACTCAGATGTAAGCTCTCAAGCTGCAAAATAACTAGCTGTTTCATTCCTGTACTGAATTACTTTGTTTGTGGAACTTTCTGCATATTCACTACGCATGCAAAAACCAGGAGTAATGTGAAAAAACCTTTGAGTTTTTTTAATCTGTCCCTTTTCCACCTGTACCTCATTACTGTTTTCAACTCAGCAAAACTAGTTATTGTACGCCAGATTATTTATGGGTTGTGGATTGGGGTTTTTTCCCCTCATTTCAAAAAGCTCTGGTGGAAATTCTTGGTCTGAAGGCAGCTTTGGTCCTATTCAGTATGATTTTAATAGCAGCAGAGGGACCATCTGTATTTTATTTCATTTTTGCCTGATGTCCTAATACCCTCATGGAAAAGGAACTCTGAGGAGCCAGATTGCACAATTCTTTCTTGAAATTAGGCTTGAACTTGAACATTGCCATAAATCTACTGTTTATTTTTTTGGTATAACACCCAGAGATTCCAATTAGAGTCTAGCGAATTTTGATTTTACTTAGAGGGAGAAAAGGGTTGTGCAATTTCAAACCTGAATATACTGATTTTATTCTATAGCCAATTATGCTCTAACTTGTATAGAAAGGATTTTTGCACTGCCTGATACAACAGAAAATAGTTTTAAATAGTTACTATTCTATTCTACTATACTAATAAAATAGTTCCAATAGTTAGTAAATTGTAATATGTTACGCTGAGTTGACTTGTTGCAAAATTTCTATATTAAAATTTTCTTTCCTTATGTCTTTTTGTGGGGTTGTTTTAGCAACCATCAAGGTGCAACACCACTTGTTCTTGCCAAACGAAGGGGTGTGAATAAAGATGTGATTAGACTGCTGGAATCCCTAGAGGAGCAAGAGGTGAAAGGGTTTAACAGAGGAGCTCATTCAAAGCTGGAAACCATGCAGACCGCTGAAAGTGAAAGGTATTTACCAAACAAAAATAATTATTAGGAGAAATGGCATTTATGCATTTTAGATTGTTGTGATTGACTTGATTGTTTATTTCTCAAAATGGGTATTATGAAATTTGGCCTGATATTATCTATTTAAACAGATCAAATGTAAGGAAGAAAAGAACTTCTTCTATTGAGATTTTAATTTTTTTGGTAGAAATTTTAAGAAATAATTACTCATTTTCCATTACAGAGTCCCCAAAATAAATATTCTACCACTTATCACAAAGCCAAAGAGAAAATAGCATGAAATGCAAAATGCCAATATCACAGGCTAACCTGACATACTTTTGATAAGAGGGAAAGTCTGTGCAAAACAAAGGATAGGAGACTTTTCATCTGTCTGAACTTGAATAAAGGACTTTATGTGGTGCCATATATGAAATTTTTATCAGCATTAGTCCTGGAAAAGATGGAGAATAAGAATGTTATGGTGGCTAAAGAGATAGTTAATGGAGAACTGAAGATTTCAGGAAAATTGTTGGCCATTTCAGGGAAATTGCTGGGTTAGAGGGAAGCTACTAATGCATTCTTGAAGGTCTGGTTCTGGGACTGTGTTTACTTAGAATTTTCTTAAATAAAGAAGTAGAAGCATAAGAAGTAGAAGCATGTTAGTGATACCAAGACATGAAATACAGACAACCCAGAGGAAAATTGGGATGGCGGAGAGAAAAACCTGGGGTTACAAGGGAGACGAAATTAGTAGGAATAAATTGCGATTCAGTAGCACAAAATGCAACTTTATTTACCAAAAGCTGAATGCCATAAAATAAAAAAGTTTCTCAGTGGAAAACAAAGATATAGGAGAAAAAGCTCGATGTACTAGTCAGTTCCAGGAGTTGACACTTCCCTGAAAAATGTTGTAAAGTCCTACAAAGCACGAAATGAGGTATTTTCACTACATAAAGAAAACTGTCCTGCTGTTTAAAGCAACAGTGACTTCTGCTCTTTAGTATGTTTTATTATGCTGTTTACCCTCATTCAAAAAAGTTTAATTTATCCTTTTAAGAAGCATGGAGAGGCATTACTCGAAGCACTCAGGGAACAGAGCATCTCCTTATGAAAGAAGGCAAGTAGAGCTTGTTTTAGCCTGGCAGAATGAAAGCTGAGAGGTGTATGTGGTTGCTGACAAGAAATACTGGTTTTGAACAAAATAACTGTTTAAGACAAAAGATGATGATAGCATAAGAGCCAAAGGATACAGATAAACCACAGATACTTTTGTGATTGAAAATTGGGAGTGTGTTTTTTTACGATCAACTTCCAAATCAGTCTTCTTGCAGATTTGGATGAGGCAAGAAGCCTTGCAGGTTTCAAAGGATGATAATTCTCTTGCAGAAATCATTGAATTGCCAATAAACATTGCAGAACATGGAACTGAGATTAATAATGCAAGAAGTCTTTTTAATACTGTTTTAGTTTTAATTCATATTGAAAAGAGGCTATCAGTGTTGTTTGGAATACTTGCTCTTACATTGTATTTATTCAAATTTGGAGGGTTTTTTGTGTTGTCGAATAATGATTATGAACTATGACTACTGGAAAATCATATCTCAAAAGACAGGGAGTTTTGTCACATAACTATTGATCAGTTTATGTCAAAATGTACGCAGCCTGTACTGTAAATGAAAATGAAGCTGTGCAGATGGAGTTATCTGAGTAAAGAGAAAAGGTGAAGCCAACAAAATTACAGAAATAATGCCAAACACTCCCAGTGAACAGATTTGAAGCTCTTTATTACACACCAGGTGACCACACCTATCAGAGAGACTGATTTAAGCCCTGAAATAGAAAAATTAATATTATTCTCAAAATTACATAGTTATAAATTATAAGAATTTGTGCATAATACTATTCTGACTTCACTAAATTTTATTGAGAGTTGCTTGTCCCACAGAAATGCATTTATGCTGGTTTTGTTTGAACATATGGACCAACAGCTCAGCCCCATTTCCATTCCGATTTTTGATTTGAGAGTGTCCCTTTAATGAACATAGCTTCCTTTCTGTTATTTGACCTTTGTAAATGTTATATTGTTTGCTTTGGCAAGGAAGTCAGCAACTCTCCTTGGGGAGAGACACAGAGACATAAACAGTGCACTACCCAGCTTGTTTGGGAATGTGTTTAAAATGTCTGAAATACATTATTTTAAAAATAACAAATAGCAAATGCCTACAGCAGCCAAAGCAAGTGAGCTCGTGTGCTGTTTGCTTTGTAAATAAATAATGCCTTTATAACAGTTGGGTTTTCAGACCTCCACAGTTTCACTCCTCCCTCTTAGTAATATTTTCACATTTTGGAGACATTTAGATGAATTTCTTCTGTCCTTGCCCCCCTGAAATATTTTACGTTATGTATGAACCTGCGGAGAAATAATGCTCTTTCTAAAAACAGGCTCTGACTTTAGTTCTCTGCTCCCTGTTACGTGCACTTGCTGCAGCTCTGGAAGCAGAGGCCAAAGTTTTGTTCCCGAGTCAGATGTGTTTTCGCTGGCCGTGCCCTGCCCCCGGAGGGGAGCGGCGCTGTGCTGTCAGGAGCCAGAGCTTGCTCTGTCTGTCTCGCAGCGCAGACGGTCTGTCCATCTGCACAGCCCAGCAGGACCTGTGGCTGTGCCCACAAGCGTGTCCAAATGTGAACTTCCATGTGCTGTTGGAGACAGAAGAGAACATCTGTCTGGGCTGTGTGGCATAAACTCTTCTAAGGGCGCATTGCTGCGTGACCAGTCCTTTCACAGCTGCAATTCATCATAAGAAAAAATACCTTGAATAACATAGATTTTAATTGGGTTGTAATATAAAATAGAAAAAATGTTTTCTATGTACCCTTTTCCTTTTAATGAGAAGCATGTGATCTTTTCTCTTAAATTGCATGGAACCTTTATTTAACCTCTCTGTAGTTATGTATTAACTAGTTAGTACTTAACAAGTAAGTTGTTCTGTTCTCTTCTACACCAATGGCTGTCTTTTATTAATCCTTTTGTTTTGCTTGGGAAATCATAATAAGCAAGGAAGATGACTAAATCCTGCAGCTATGGGCAAGCAGAAATAGTTTTACAGGATTGTAAATATTTAAAAAAAACAAAAATACAAGCTGTTTAATAGGCAGTTTCTGAAATCTGCACATGCTGCTGCAATGCTTCAGCGAGCTGTGGGAGTTTAGGCTAATTATTCATCAGTGGCTGTACTTCCTGAGAAAAAATACCATACAAATAGTGTGAAGTTTTCTCGTGGTGTAATCTTAGAAGAGAGATTTTTTCCGATAACGATCATTTGTCGGTTCATTACTGTCACCAAGAAGAGCAGTGTTTCTACAATTAGTTTTGACCTGGAAATTACTTTCCCCTGAATTTTTTATTTAATTTTTATTATTAGTGCTGTAAGATATATCTAGGAATATGGTAACTGAAAGCAGTTAAAACCAAGGAAAAGAATTTTTTTTCCTCTGCTTATGTTCTTCTATTGACATCATTGAGTAATTAATTCCACGATTTCCTTTCTGTGCTTGTCGGAGCCCAATCCTGTAAACACCCATGTGTGTAATTTCATTCAAGTCAGAAGTAGTAGGACTGTGCAGATGGTCAAAATTTTAAGTGCAATCAAGTGATGAGAAAGTTTTCCTATTCTTTGTGAGATTTTTCAGAGAAAGTTTCCTGTGGTAAACCAGCTGGGAAACAAGCAAAATTGGCAGAATTATGCAAGAAGCCATTCGGTATTGGGGACAACTTACATATTTTCTAAAGGTGATTCATTGTCTAGATGAGTGCCTCATTCTGATTTTATATTTGTTTCTCATTTAAAAGTGAAACTTCCATCCCTTATTTATAGTCTGACAATTTAAAGGGGCCTGATGGATAGCTAGTGCAATGTTAAAACATCCAGGCAGTCGCTGAAAGCCATATGGCAGAAAACACAGCAATGCCAACTTGTTCAGAATGTTTCTGAACTTCTTGTTACCCAAATTTATTGGTTTATGTGAATTTTACTTTTTTTTTTTTATGCTAGAGAGGAGGCCTGTGTAACTAAGACATGCAGGAGAGTAGTAAAGATCACTACAGAATTCAGCATCTAAATTAATAGTGGTTAAAGTTTCCATTTTATTCACTGGAGTTTATTTTTTGTCATAATTTGTTTTGTTAACAAGAGCTGGGTCCCTTGAGGTTTTAGCTTATGCTTCATTAGATTTTACTAAGCCATATTTAGTAGGAATTATGAGGACTGGCTTTTGAAGGCTTCTAGGTGGCAAGCCTGCAAATTCAGGGCAGTTGTTCATATACAGATATCAGTCTCTTTGCACAGGTTAATAAAACATCCACTCAACTAAATTAAGTTTAGAGTTAAGAGTGTTTTCCTGGCCTGCTTTGTCTTGATTTAGCAGAGGCAATGCTATAAATCTGCAGGTGGGTTTAATTTTATTTTAGAATGTTTCAGTTGCCCTTTGTAGGATTACTGTCATATTTAAAGGTCCATTTTTTTTGCTCTGATGTGTTTTTAACTTTAATCCTTAATAGTGCAATGGAAAGCCATTCCCTCCTTAATCCAAACCTGCAGCAAGGTGAAGGAGTTTTTTCCAGTTTCCGCACAACGTGGCAAGAGTTTGTGGAAGACCTGGGCTTCTGGAGGGTGCTTCTCCTCATCATTGTCATTGCTCTTCTGTCGCTTGGAATAGCCTACTATGTTAGTGGGGTGCTTCCTTTTGTAGAGAACCAGCCTGAACTGGTGCACTGAAGCAAAGGCAGAAGAGTGCACTGTGCTTTTCCCTGTTCTGATCTTATTTTGAGCTTCTTGGAATTATTCTCCTGGTGCAGACAGTGGCAGCTGTATATACTGTTTGCCTTTTTTACTTAGTATTAACCCCTTTGAAATAGGGATTAATTAATCTGAAATAAAACACTAAATTCTAAAGCATTCCTAAGCTACCTCTGACTTACCTTGACTTGCAAGCAACATGTGAAGATAACCCTCTCTGATGTAATATTATGCTTAGAAAAGGCCTTTCATAATGAGTATTAAATTCCTGGGTATCAAAAATATATCCTAGTACAGAACAAAATGTTTCTATTTTCCCTATGAAGAGAGGAATGTATTGTCAGATCTTTTTTGTATGAGCTTCAGTTGAAGCACATAAAAAGAAGATACTCTTCAGAGAAATTTTTCATAGAATAAAAAGACTCTTTTAAAGGTTCTCCTCAAGAAATCTCGGTAATGTAATAACACATTCTGATATATAGATAATAATAAGCTGCGACTCCATAGTTATTTTAATGCCTCTCCATAGTTTTGTATCTGCTAGTTTATAAAAAGAATGAGAAGTAGTTCAAGTTTTACTATGTCTTTAATGTATAGGTCACTCCTTTATTTATTAGATCAGTGTAGTGCATCTTCCCCAGATGAATTTAATGTTGTTAGTGCCTGCCTGAAGTAAATTTTGTAGAACCAAGATGTTTGTTGTGCTTTGGAAGTAAAGTTGTTTCGGCCTTGGGCTGAAAATTTTGCGTTTTTGTTAAAATGTTACTAAGCAAACCTTTCTTTGTAAGGGTGATTAAAAAGTAATTTGGGTGTTCTACTGTGTATATAATAATTCTGTAAGGTCATTGTGAGGTATGTGGCGAAGGATAACTTTTTCTTCCTCCCACAAGGACCAGGCTGAACTATATGACTTTGTTGTTTTCGTGTTTGTGGAGAGAACTTGATTCAATAGAATTCCTTTCTGGAATTGTTTTCCATTTCAGTTGTTTTCAGACAGCACTTACAGGCTTATGAATTATTTTCTGAGTATGCAGAATAAAAGTATTTAAAATATTAATATTTAAGATCATTGTATGAAATGAAATCTTAACCCATTCTGTACTTTGCTGTGAAATCCTTTGTTGTAAATAACCTAGGGATATGAATCTTCTGTGAAGGGTAGAAAGGTATTGCATAGTAATTTGGAGGTTTTCAAAGAAAGGAGATTCTCTCCTCCCATTAGACATCTAATTCTCTTTGTTGCCATTGCCTTAAAAATCCCAAACAAAATGAATTCTGTGAACCTAAGGAATCAATTTTTATTTTTTTAATTAGCCTCTCCTAAATTGTTGCTGAATAATATCAAACATTTATTATACAGTTAATAAGTATTGATAAAACTAATCTACATCTTTCTGTTCTGGTACCATCTATATTTTTCTTTCTTGTTTATTCATTTGAGTTAAGAGGGTTGTTGTCTTTGTTTTGATGTGTGACATGGGTTTCACTGAGCTGGGCCCCGTTCTAAATTGCATCTGAATAAATCTTGATCTCAGTTCTTAAGTTAGAGTTTAATGTAACAATACTTTTTTATTTAAAACCAAACGAGAGCATACTCCTCTTCTGAATATTTCAATTACTGTACCATTGTTCACCAACAGATAAATATAACCTCATTATATACCTGAATTACATTTACTTGTCTAAATAACTACATTTCTGTAAATAATACTCTTGTATCTTGTTGACTTTCAGTATGTATTATCTGCATAATTTGTAATTGTATTCTCAGTATGAGTGAATGCCACAAATAAATATATGTAGTAAATATGTTTTGGTTTATTATTACATTAGTGCAGCAGTAACAGTGCTACCCCATTTTACTGAGTTCATTTGTTGTGCATTGATAATGAGCATTTCAGAAGTGGGGAGGTTCCCTCCACGAGAAAAGGCAGCCACTCAGTTGCTAAAAATGAGGTTTTAGGGCACGGTTTCTTTAGATTTGCCTGTTTTATTTTTGGTATTGTTACAGTATTGAAGTTGCTGTCTGGCTGTCTCTCTTATATGAGATTTCAGGCATTGAACATGTGATCTAGAGGCCTTTCAAAATTTAAGATTACCTATGAGGAGGTACAAAACATAACCAAGAAAACCAAGCTTGAGCCTTAAGTAGCCTTTCCGACTTCACTGTATTCATAAGCATACAAACAGGAGCTGCAAATTGAAAAGTTGGAAAAACTGTGTGTTTCAAATTAAGATATGTCACTTTTTAAACCAAAGAGAAGCTTCACTGTGTATTGGCTGCTGCTCTTTGAAATAAGGACATGATAAACGCCTGAGTAGAAGGGGTTTGTTCTGTACATACCTCTGTTATTGAGAAAGGTCAGCTGTGCCTTTCAATATATCTCCACTAATGTCTTCCTTTTCCAAGGTTGATTCTAAGGAATGAATTTACCTCCTGTACCCTGGGTTTCAGTAAGTACAATCCATCTTTCTTACAGGAACAGAAAGATGATTTCAGCTTACTTTGTCTTGAGGCTGTTGCCGTAGGGAGTTTCACTGTTTCAGCAGAATGACATGGATCACAGATTGTCTTTAGGTAAATAAGATTTCTTTATTATTGTAGTGGTATCTCGATACCTTAATCCAGGGACTCACTTCTGCCAGGCAACACAAAATTCAGCTGAAGTACTTAAATGTGATTGAGATAACAGGTGCATCACACTACCCTGCAAGGGCAGGTTCAGAATTATCTTCCTTTCACCAGAAATTAATTTCATAATGTTAGTTATGAGATTAGGCACGTTTCAAATCCAAGACAGATTGTTGTCTCAAGCTGTTCTTAGACTAATGAGCCGAAATGGAATAGGGAATTGAGAGAGAAAACAATCATGGAGATATGAAGTGATTTCTTTTTCCAGTGACATGAAACAACTTGGTGGACAAGATAGTGCAAGGTAAACTGGAGTGTAAAAAGGTTGCCCGTGGGCTGCTCTGCAGTGGGCTGTCCTTGTGGTCACATTTATTCCATGGTAAGATCACACCTGTTGTACTCATAGTAACTTGTTCATGTACCGTATCTCTGTCTTCAAGGGCTCTGTTTTCACTCATATTGGTAATTTGCTTTGTAGAAGAGGATGATCTGTTGGGTGATTGCCATGGGTAGGTATTGCTTCTGATATTTCATTTTATACAACAGGACATGATCTGGCACTGTGAGGTGTGTCATCTTGAAAAGCTCCTGGGAGAAAAAGAACGTGGTTTCTCTTTGAAATATTTAAACAGAAGATCTAGGTAGTTTCTGGGTCTGCAGCTGATTGGGAGTTTGATTTTACCATGAGTTGACTAGTCTCTATGTTTTTAATAACTTAAGTAAAAATGATCAACTCCAACTAGTTAGCTGGGTAGCTCTTGTTCTAGTCAAATATGTTTGGTCATAATTACTTAGAAAAATGCAAATTAAGTAATTAATTCAGAAGTACAATTTGCAAGTGAAAGCTTCCCTGAATACTCAAAAAAAGGGCAATATTGTCTTTTGTCATATTCAGAATTTTCAAAAGTCTACCGTATATTTAAATGTTACCCGAAGTTGACTTCTAACAGAACCGATTGCTTTCTCAGCTGATACACAAATTCACTTTTTTCTGAAGTTGTTCCTGCTTCTGAAGCCAGATATGTGTTAAATTCATGTTTGAATTGATGGTTAAAATAAGTCTGAGTTGTGAGAATTAGGTCAGAATGCTTTTCCCTCATTCAGTGTTCTTTTTTTGCATTTCAGCATTACTTCTTGTAGATTGGTTACTTGCAATACACTTTGTAAAACTTCCTCGGTGATCCAAAATGTTACAAAAAATGTTGTTGCCAGTTGTTCCTACATTTCTCATCTGTGGTGTTGGGGCTTTCTAGAAGAATTCAAACGTCATTGCGCAGTTTCATGGCCTGCAGTTCTCTGTGAACTCTCTAAGTGCTGAAATACTGTTGAGTCATGAATCTCAGTTCTGTGTTAATATTATGAAATTAATTTCTGGTAGCAGCAGAGAGAATTCTGCACCTGCACTTGCAGGGTAGTATGATGCACCTGTTATCTCAGTGATATTTAAGTACTTCAGCTAAATTTTGTGTTGCCTGGCATCTTTTGTACTGCTCTTACAAATGCTTCAAAGGGAGAACACCTTTGAAACATACAGTATTAGGAAACGAATGCAACAAATTGGTAGTTCTTTGCTATTTATTGCGGGAAATTGAGGTGTTCCCAGGGTCACACAGAAATCTGAGATGAATCACATCTATCAGAGTCACACTATCAGAGAAATCTGTCCTACTGACAGTGATCTGGTGTGTCTGTGCTCTTACACAAAGCTGAGTGAACACTGATGTTGCAGCTGAAGCAGTCTCTGTGTGCAGGACCCTGAGAAATGCGTCTCTGCTGTAGGTATTTATGGTTTGTAAATCATTGCTGTAGCTAAGCATTGAGCAACCAATATTTCCTAATGAGTATGATGAGACAAAACTGTTGTTCTTCATTAATGCCAAGGGAATGGGGAATCTACTGGAAATTGCCATAACTAAAAAACAACATTGAAATTTTCTTCTGAAGTCAAAGTGTGAACAAGCCACAACCATGGCTCCAAGTCACACATTCTTTCCATTTGTGATTTTAAACTGCCTTCTGAGTAAGAAGACATTTGGAACAGAATTTGTTGTGTGCTATGTATGGTGTGCGGAAAATAGGAGGGAAATGAATGCAGTGAGCCAAGGTGGCAGCACGGCAGGCAGAGCAGTGTGATACCTTCATGAATCACTGCTCAAAGGCCAATCCCAGTGCCTGTAAGAAGTGCAAGGAGTGACCAGTAATAGCTTCCTAGGAGGAGAAAGATTTCACTGGCTTGTGATTACACCATCTCACATGGGTGGCCATGCAGCCCTGCAACCTGAGCTGGCCCTTCTTGACTTTCAGTGTCCAGAGTGCTGCTATTTCAGACAACTGCGTGTTTGAATGTGTACCTACATTAACAGCTGCTCATGGGGAAGTCAGACTGGTTCCTCTTACACAAGAGTCCTGCTGCACATAGGTTAGCAAAAGAAGTTTTACCAAATGTGAACAGAAGTTCTTTGTAAGACATTAAATATTTCTGGTCTATTAAGTTATGTTTATCTAAATATCAGAAGGCAGGAGTCCAGAGGAAGGATCAAGTATATGCAATAATATTTTATTTTCCTTTGCCAAAGAAAAGAAGAGCAGACAACATTCTCTTAATGCAAAGCAAAAAAAAATCATAGCAAATTTGTTTTGCACTGTAGCATCTGAATTCCTTAATGAGTCAAATTCCTTAATAATAATTTCAAATAATGCACTTTCTGGCAGGTAAGTTTTCTAAAAGAAAGGCTGACATAGGTTTGCAGTGGTGCGAAGGTTGTAATGTTTGAAGGTTTTGCTGTCATAATGAAGTGTGCATACTGAAACAAAACTAGTTAATGGAGTGGATTTTAGCTAGGACATAAGAACTGAAATGCCATATGCTCGTCCTCATATTGTTGTCTTACTGCAGGCTGAACATCTGGCTTGGTTTGTTTTGGTACAGATACTTTCAGACAAAAATGAAGTATGCAGATATCAGTACATTTAAACTGGCAAGCACAGTTTCTGTAGTGGACATAAAGAATAATGGAGTATCCCACTGAAAGTCATGGCAGCTTGTATGTGAACTGTGCAATCCTGCCAGACATTTTCCTTACAGAATTGTTGGTTTTCCCATTTACGGTACTGGTTTGAATCCTCATGTCAGTCAATGAACAGCAGTGGTGAACATGGGGCTTGAACTGAAGACTCTTTTC